TTATTTGTCCTGGAATAACCAAGAGGATTTTAGAAAATTAGATATTTCGATATTTCGGTATTTTAATCCTGGAATTCAAACTTTTCTTTGAGGCGATGGTCTGTCGCCCCTGCTTTTTCGAAAAACGCTTCCTCAATGAAGCTCAAAAAATCTCAACAAATCCCCTCCAATTCCTTCAGTGTTTTTCCCGAAATTCCCGTTAAGGGCTCAAGCTACACGCCGTGAATCCCATCCTCCTCCTGCTCCTCCTCCCGATTTCTCAATCACCTGCTTTTTTCGAGGAGCAAAGAGGCGCTTCTCCTTCGAGCCTTTGCGGGGCGAGTAACCTCGTTTGTGAGGGGGGCCCCGAAATGACCTGGGCAAAGCAAGGGGCCCAAAAGCGGAGATGGGCCCTCCTTTTTTACACCCTCACATCAGCGTGTACACGCAAATCTGAGGGGGGCTCGCTTCCACACCCCAGGGCTAACCAACCGGAAAATGTCCTTGTTTTGCTGGGAGGGGGAAGCGTTCGTTTTCTTATTTGGAGCTAGGCGGAGGGGCTTAGAAGCTACACTTCACTCGTTTTTTCGTTGTTTTTGCTATTATTTTCGTTGTTATTGATTAATTTTTAATAGCGATACATATTATTTGATTTTACTTAAGATGAAACTAGGTGATTCTTATAGATTTTTCGGTCTTTTAATGTTTTAACGGCCGTCTACCGTAACATTTTTATCGTTTCCATGCCTTTTTACGATATTGTTTTTAGTATGTCTTAAACTGGTTCAATCTAGACTTTTTAAACCTCTAGGACCTTTAAACGAATTACCTTATGCAATTTCTGTATGTTGCCCAAGGAAACTCCGCTAGTTGCCCCTAGGAATTTTTTTTACAGGAATTCTCGAATTCAGGCAACTTTTATTTTCCTGTATTTTCCTGCTCTGATTTTTTTATTAAAAAAGATGCCGTGCTAGTCACTGAAAAAACCGATAACACTGAATTCCAAACCAGATTTGATATGGAACTATATTGAAATTATTGTATATTTATATTAAATTTATAGAATTTTCTATAGATCAAAAAATTAAATTGGATGCCTTATAAAGCGCTCAACAAGCTTCAATAATAAAATAGACGCGGTTTTCCGTACTAATTACACTGATTCGTGTATTCTAGAAATAAAATTCAAGAGGTCGGACGCGTTTCCAGATTTCTGGAAAAGCTTCCCGCGCTTTAAAAGTCCCCTGACAACAAAGTACACTTCCGAGCCCTGGAACCTCTTTTAAGGTGCGCAACAACCTTCGAAACAACTCTACGTCACCCTTCCCCTAACCCACTCATTCGTGTATTCTGGTGCATTGTTTCTCTCTCATCTCTCTTGCTCTCTCTCTCTATTCTCTCCCGTTGCCTCATGACACCATTTTCGAGCCAGGCGAGCACTTTGCGTGGCTCGAGAAAAGAGAAGAACTTTTTAAGGCCATTTTTGCGGGCCGGGCCGTCCGTTTTTAGGCGTCGTAAGTAGTCAGTCACTCGAGTGACTGGCCCCCTCTTCAATGCAGCGTGACGGCCCTCTGCTAGCTGCTCCTTCATTACGCCCGTTTTGGCGTCTTTTTCTGCGTTTTTTTTTGTGGCACTTACCGAACCCACGCGGCCCGTTTGGGTCACCGGGGTGTTTGGTGGGTTGTTGGCAAATTTGCAGGTGAGAATGCTTGTTGACATGCTTAGCTTCCTAGGTCCTTTAGAGGGACCAGACAATCGAAAAAAATCACAAATTCGCTTGAGCCGTTTTTCCCGAACTTTCGATCTGATTTTTTGTAAAATTACGTAAAACCTGACTTCTGTTGAGCCAATATCAACTTGCAAAATTTATACGTTTTCCTGAAGGCCCTACTGTATAAAATCCGCATAGATTCCGCTGCACAACCTTGACAGTTCTTGACTCTTTGATTTCCTAGAGAAATATGTTCCTACTTACAAATGAAAGCCGTTTTTGCAAACAAGAAAGCTTAGTTGAAATCGATTATATCACAGTAAAATATTTTTCATTAAAGGTATCGATTACCCATACTTACTTAATTTTTTTCACGACCGAATCTAGCATTTGCTGTTTAGGTTCCTACCAAGAATGTCAAGGACAGTCGGTTTATAGCAATTAGCCATCCTAAATGGGCTAGAAATTCAAAGATTCGACCCCGTCCCAGACTGGGTCTAGACAGTTACGCGCCATTCCAAAAGACGTACAGAAACGAACGGAATCGGAATTCTGGCGAAACCTCACTCCTTTATAAATAAAAAACTTATAAACTCCTATATAAAATCAGAATAAGCCTGAGCGATGCTGAGCGAAACCAGGTGTTTTTCTAAACCGGCTCCCCCAAGGACCCCCCAGGAACTGAATCCTGGCCAATTCCCTAGATCCGTTCGTGGGATTTAGCCCCAAATTCCGGCTAAATCCAGTCCCCCGGTCCTTACCCTATCCGCCGCTTCTGAAAAGGGCTTCCACCCTTTAGTTTCTATAGCTGGATCCTTGGCTTGAATTATTCACGAGGGGTCCTGGCTGTGTGTCCCTTCTTCCTTCCCGGCCATCCCCCGGCCACTAGGTGTGCCGTTGCACTACGGGGCGGATATCTGAAGCTGCCACGACAAATCGGGAGCTAGAAAGATATAGCTGGATTTTGGAGCAGGAGTTTTAGTCTAAGACTCCCAAGACAGCTTGGCGATTCCTGCCCTCTTTCCGTTTCTCCAATTCGGTACATCTATCTATACCTCTCGCTTTTTCGCTCGCTTTTACTCCCTGTTTCCTTCTCTCTGCCCTCTCTCTCTCTCTCTCTCTCTTTATCTCTCGCACTCGTTTTGTCTCTCTATTTCTCTCTGTTTCTCTGTCTCTCTGTCTCACTCTCTCTCTCTCTCTCTCTCTCTCTCTCTCTCTCTCCATCTCTCATCTCACTTGGTTCTCCCTGTCTCCGGACAATACTGCCCTTTAAAGGGAGGGTGACACATGCGTATTTTTTATTTCAAAGCTTTGGTGATTTGAATATGATAGATTGGATTTGAATCCATTTTTCTTTTCCCAATCGTTGATTCCTTCCACCCCTCCCTAATTCGAGGTTTTTACGCCTGCCACTTGTCTTCCGCCTTCCCTCCTGCCCTTCCCTCACAGTCGGCGGTTTTTTATGGCCGCCTGGGTCATAACTCATTTGGCGCACATGGGGCCCCTCTCCGCCTCCTCCCGATTCCACCACCAATTTGCCACCTTCATCGGGCTGACGGGTTGGCGCTAATGGATTTAATTTTCGAAATATTTTGCATAGCATTTTGTGCAGAGCCCTCCGATTTTTCAATTTTACGCTTTAAAAAGTTCCGGGTTTTAGAATTTAGAAATTTAGGTTCGAAATTTGGAAGCTCAGAACTAAAAATTTTTAAGAGTCTTTTAAAAACTTTTCTGCCTATTCTTCTGTAATACAATTTTAAAAACACGATGTGTTGAAAGGTATTGTTTGAGAACATTTTAAGACCGATATTCCTGTATCAAGAAAAAGGCAAACAAAAACATGGGCTTTGTTTTTGCAAATTCGGATAGTTTGTATATGTTGATTTGCTTTCTGCGAATTGTCTACAGTTTTTAAGGCCTTACACGTGGGAATTCGGATAAAGCGGCCTGAATACTTGTGGTTTTTATTGGTCTACATTTCAATTTTTGCCACTCCAGAAATTCTTAGCTCCAAAAATTACGCCGCTTCCTTCCCATTTTCGGGTCATCTACCTTTCCTACCTCCTATTAACCACCCAAAATACTGTCTTCCCTCATCCTGGCCCAATCTAGATAATCTGTCGCCGCGGCTTCAAAGGGGGTCCACATCTAATGGGTCCTCGATTCGAGCCCCCCCCCACGGGCCACCGGAAATCGCCTGCCTCCCTCACGACTGCCGGTGTTTGGGGGCCCATAATTTGGCCATTACGACGCCCGGGTCATTACAATCATTTGGAAGCCCGGGGTGGGTATGACTCCTTATGGGTTGGTCTTAGGGCCCGTGGCCCTAAGACCCGGGTCCCCGGGCCTTTAAGGGACCATTAAAGGGACCGCCAGGGTGGGGGCATGGCTGTCGCCAGATTGCCACAATTAGTGCGGGGGGAGGGATCATGCCCTCATATGTCCTGGGGCACAATTCGATGGGTCTTTGGGGTTTTTTTGGGGAATACCGCATCTTCGGAAATTGGTTTCGAGTTACAGTATGCCTAATTCTTTGATCTATTTTGATTATTGTCGAGTTGTTGTCAGGGAGAAGGAGAATTTTCCATTTTTTCCGAAAAACGATACCTTGGGTCAGAACTAAATTTTTCACGTTTTCCGTTTATTCGTAGTCACTCTTGATAAACGAGATCTCGTAAATTGTTTAAATTAAAAATCCTGATAGTTCCAGGCCGTAATTTCAATTTTTAATGCTATTTTTTCATCAATCCGATCTTTCTTAAGCGTTGTAGTGTTATTAAAAAACTACTTTTTTTTGGCTTTTGCTAGATGTTGGGACAAGAGGCTCTCAGTTTCCTAAAAAAAGCACAGTACTGACCCCCCTTCCCCTTTGGCGTATCAGGGACGCCCCTTTTCTCATGCGCTGTGTTCCTCAATTTCAGCCGCGGACGTCTGGGATAAGCAAAAGATTCTTTATATTGTTTTCTGTGATTGGTTTTGATACGTCTCAAATAAAAAACTGTCAGCACCCTAAAAATGGCAGATGTTCCATGGCCCCGGCTTCTCAAGTGTCACGCCCCGCAGTGCGTTCCTCTCCTACTTACCCTAGTCACCCCAGTCAAGCACCCACCAATTACGTAACCACCATCCTGATTATCTAGGCCTTTTTTGGGCTTATTCTGCCAGCTTAGAAGAATCTTTGGATTTATAGATTAAATTCCAATTTTCCTTTCCCTTATCGTGTCTGATTTTTTCTACCTATCTGTGCCTACAGTTTTTGTTTCCAGGTTGCATGTCGTAGCCGAGCCCGCAACATTACAAATTTTACAAGATGCTGAATAACCTCAGGGTATGCGCGGCCTTCGTTGCCGTTTTCGTCAATTTACACCACCGGATACAAGCTACAGGTAAGCTTTTCTGGGCGTATTGTACCGAAATATTGCGACCGAGTCTCCGTAGTAAGCGGCAAAAAAATAAACACTTCCAAAACTTGCCACAATACTATCACAACAAATTGAAATTAGGGTCCTATTAGAAGAAGGTTATCATTTAAAGACAGTCTAATACTAGAATCTCTTCTAGATTCTTCGTTTTTCGTGTGAGACCTAGTTTTACGTGAAACGAACGCGAATTTTTGCCGTCGCATGAAGCCTTTTTTCCTTGTCAAATCAGTGAAACCCGGTCTCGAATTTAGCGAGTTTTTCGTTTGAAGTAGAAGGAGCAGCAAAGGGAGAAGCACTCGAGGGGGTGGAGGTGTCTTTCCAAAACACGATTTGCAAACGAGATTTACGGGGTTGCGCCTCCTTCTGGCCCCGTAAGTCCGTGTGTAAGTCGCACCCCCAGGGTCCTTGCTAACAGCTTTTTTGGGTCCAAAAAGGGCTGTCTCTCTAGGGAGGGGACGCAAAAAAACAACTAAGAAGGTTTTAGAAGGAGAATGTCTAAGAATTGACAGGGGTTGGCTCGCAAAAATAGTAGAGGATTTTTAGCGCTTTTGAACAAAGAAACAGACGCATTTCGAAGCCCTACAAATGTGATAAAATTTATTAGCGTGGCGGCTGCCAGCAGGGTTCAGCGAGGACTTTTAGTCTTCTAAAATTCCCAAGGCGGTTTGGTGTACCATGTATCACACAAGCCTATAAAGCCTCACAAACAAATCGGAGCCGAGAATTAGAACCAAATTTATGGCCATACGACCGAAAGCTTTTAGCACCTAGGGCGCTAGGGGCTTTCCGATACGATGGAGCTGCAAAAACCATCGGAATGGGGTGGAAACCAAGAAAAAGTTTGTTTTGGTGCCCTTCGTGGGGCCAGGGAAAGCTCGAATTTAGGTTAAAGAACTCAGGTACTAAAAATTGGTTCTCACAGTTAAAAAAGTGATAATTTGGCCAGAATACTACTGAAATACAACCATAGAAATACAAGATTATTTAAAGGGCATGTTAGTCACGTTTTTTGGAAAAAGCAAAGATCCTTTGCCGCGGCCGGGGGTCGAACCCGGGCCCCCCCTCGGGAGGCGCGGATGGATACCAATCAGCCACAGCTACAACCTGGCGAGGGGCCGAGGGGCGCCCCACGCCGCAAAGGAGGGGAATGGCCTGTCACAGCACGGGCAGGCCGTGCGCGCGGTCCCTACGTCCATAGGGTGTACACGTTGGGACGAGTACACGGCCGCTCCCTGAACGTGCACTTTAACGCAAAAACTATCTAGTAGATCTAACATACCAATCCTCATTTCCAGAAAACTTCGAGCTCCGGATACACGATGGCGCCGCTACTGGAGTGAAGATGACGATGGGCATTGAATTTCAGGTAATTTTAGTTATTTTCGAGATTAAACATTAATAATATCGAATATAATTGCCACTATGGAACTTTAACCTTGTTGTCTATGATGAGCGCTGTTAACCCAGTTTTTAGAGAAAAATGGACGGTTTCAAGGGGTGCTTCGGGCAGCTGGAGTCGGATATCGAGTGGTTGGAGTTTAGGTAAACGCTGATGTACGTTTATTAAACCCTCAAATCTAGGACATCCCGCTCCGCATTCTATACCAGTGACGCGGTGCCTTACTTCGATCCCAAGAAAGTGCCGACACTGGAAGGGACGCTTCATATGTAAGTTTCGAAAGCCAGAAACTTCTTTGGATTCAGAGTAAATCGTCTCTGCCAGCTTGCCGGTTTTTTTTTGAATTGTGGTTGATTTTACTCCTGTAAAATGTCAAAGTTGAATTTTACAATATTCCGGGTACGATAATTCATAACAATTTTCAAGGCTCTGCACCGGCAACAAGATGACTTCCCTGAACTTCCACGTCCACATCACCCGCCAGAACCGACATGCCCCGAATTTCCTGGCTGGGAACAAGTTCACCTTCTACGTCCCCGTCGACATGAGGAAGGACGGGAATTCGGAGATTGGGGTTCTTCAGGTTGGTAGTGAGAGAGAGAGTGAAAATCAAGAGGGAGAGATCCTTAGAGAGAGAGAGAGAGAGAGAGAGAGAGAGAGAGCAGGGGGAAAATCGAACGAAGGAAATCACGTATATCGATACCCTTTCTAGGTAGAAGACATCGACCCGGTCATCTACAACTCCCAAAGAATACTCCGATTCACAAAAGATCAACCACTTTTCTCGATCGAAGCCGACGGAAAATTGAAGCTGAAGAGTCTGCTTGTGCGAGAGCAGCCCTACAAGCCGATACACTTCCAGGTATGAGAAATAATCTCAATAATCTGGAAATATAAGTATAAAAATCACGTATTCGAATTCTAAGGCTATTTTATCCTAGGAAACTACTAGAGATACTTAATTCGAAGATACAGGGTGGCTGAAAAGTTCCCGCAATTTTTTGATACAGTTAAATGGATTGGTATTTCGTAAAATTCTAATAAGGCAGAAAATTTATGGTAACTAATAGTTTAATTAGAACGTAAAGAACCCTGTATACGCTGTATACTAGATTTTCGGGTCTTTTAATACCTCCATAATTCCAGGTGATTGCCATCGACTTTGGCAGTCCGCAGCTTCACTCCGTGGCCAATGTTACTGTTATTCCGGTTACGGTATCTAGTAAGTTTTTTAATACGCTAATACTAAAGAAGTACGAAATCTGTGATGGTTGCGCAGATTTTAATTTTGATACAAAATGACGAAAGTGTAAAATCTTTCTATTTTTAGACGTCGAAAACCTGAAAGTCAACGTGGCCACCGATGACTACCAGATTTTCGAGTGGGACAAGCCGAAATATGGGACTCCATCGAAGTATCGGTAAGTATGGGTGTTAGTAATTGACGAAAAACCTTTTTTAGCACTTTTTTACCAGCTTAGAATGATCATAGCATTATCTAGAGGTGCCAAAATTGATTTAAATGTGTTATTTTAGAAAACAATTCTGTTCACGAGCCAAAATCTTAAGCGTTGCGTCGTTTCTAATGCCTCATTGATCAGTTTACTGATCGAAATTCCAGAAAAAAAACTTTAACTTTAAAATCGTCAAATTTAGGCTCTCGATCCGAAAGGGCGAGTCAATCCTGTATGAGGAGGAAATGGACGCTCGGCATACCTCCGCATTAACAAAAGTAGGTCCAGCATCTCTGAAAAATCCATTAAATATAATCAAACCCACTTCCTACTTACGTCACCTCTAATTTTTAGCACAGTCTCTCCGAGCTCGAGAGAATCTCAGTAAGTCTGGTCGGCCGGCGTCATGATATATCCCAACATACCTTAAATTCCCTAAAACCCCACGAAATTCATTAACTACCCAGCCGCGCTTATAACAGCTTCAAACCCTTCCAAGCAAACTCTAAAAGCGTCGATTAAGATTCTATTAAATGGACCGTGACAGTCAGACTCCGGAAGAATTTTGCAGCTGTACCTACCCCTTGAAAATCGAATTATAACTTTAAAAATCTCCCCATTTGTGTGCCATGCATGTGCGGTAACAACGGTGTACACTGGGAAGGACGGAATCCGTTAATAATACTTTTCTATACGATTGTTTAGGTCCCAATCGATGCGGGAGGCGATTTTTCATATCAAGTGACTGCGGTGGATCATACTGGCGAGACCCCTTCGGAGATCTATCGCTTCCACGTGATACAGAATGGTAAGCTGGTGGACACCTTACCATTTTGTATGATAATCCGTTCTAAAATTGCGGCTAGTTTTGCCCATTATGATCACCACCGGCTTTTCAAACATTGTTAAAATCAATTATAATAAAAAAGTCGTGGTGTCCGTCCGTCCGGTCCCGGATTCAACTCGAAGGGGAAAGGAGCTAAAGCTTAGCTCCCTTCGGATTCGGATAGAGCGTGGTCAGAAACCCCCAAACTGATAAAAATAATTATGTAAAAGTTTTAGTTTAAATTATTAAATTTAACTTTGAAAGTTTTTTCCTTAGTAAAAGGAGTGGGAGACGGAGGTTGGGGTGATTTTGGAAATAGTGAGCCAGGTCGCGCGCGTTTCGGCGAGGGGGAGCGAGCGCAGGGGGGAAGCCCGAAGTCCAGCCGCTTGCAAATCTCAGAATCTTATCAATCTGTTTTTTCTAGACCTCCGATGCCTTGGCCAGTGTGCTCCGGGAGGTGGCGTACCTCTGTGCCATTTCGGACTTGGTGGTAATGTCCAGCAGTATTCTGGTATGCTTTTTGCACTCTTCTATTCTATTTTATTACTTCAAATGAACGAGGCCCACACTGCCACTGCTTTCACGGGTATTCTGGAAATACTTGTCAATACACAGGTGAGCAATTTCAGATGGATTAACTACCAAACCCAAAAAGTTACGAAAAACTTGAGCTGCACGCGCGTTATTTGCAAAAAGCGCGTAGCATCATCTCATTATTGCGCCAGTTATATACATATCAACCGTGAAAATTAATTTGTTATTTGTACGTGTCAACTTCTTTTTTTTCAGATACCTGCCCTCCCGACAAGACGCTTGAAAACTATGGTGGGCTAGACTGGGCGGAAACAGCGGTGGGTTTATTGCTTAAACTCAAAAAAATACAGCGTTTCCAAAAGTTAGATTGTTAATTTCAGGTAAATGGCAGTGTAACAGCCCCATGCCCCTACAATCACGATGGCGAGACCGTCGAGAGGAAATGTGGATGGGAACCGATTCTCGGGCGAGCCGTCTGGCAACCAATTTCGAATATTGAGAAGTGCCAGCCACAGGTGGGTTATCTATCGATACTTGCCCCATATTTCCGAACGTTAAATGATAATCCATCAAATCAATGATGTTGCTATGATGGTTGCTATTTTTTCATTTAGAGCTCCGTCCTTTCCCACCTCAAAATGATCGAGACGTTCGCGGCGAAAGCTGATTCGACCTCGACCATCCATACCGTCGTTCGATTTCTCCGAAAGCTTCTGGCCGTGCCTTCATTTGCCCCGGCCCCCGATCCGCATCATATTCAGCCGAGAGGTAAGGGCCTAACTTACATTCGCCTGATGGCTAGTAGAATATAACTAACAGATGCGAGAACTCCAAATCGCTCAATTTTTAGTCGGCTCCCCTGCCCATTTCGACCAGAAGATCGCTGAGGATGCGGTTTTGGTCGTGGAGAGCGTGCTAAAAGTCAACATATCGACACTGAAGGGAAATGCTACCATGGCTAGGGTAAGTTAAACGAGCGATACCTTGAAGCGTCGGTCGGCCTTTCTCCCGCTCTTTAACGCTCTCCTCTCTCTTTCTTTCTCGCTCTCTCACTCTCTCTCTCTCTCTCTTTCTCTCTCCCTCTTTCTCTCCCTCTCTCTCTCTCTCTTTCTCTCTGTCACTCTGTCTCTCTCGGTCTTTTTCTCTCTCTGTCTCTCGCTCTTTTTCTCTCTCTGTTTCTATTTCTACCGCTCCCCAACCTCGAAACTATCCTTCATTCCACTACTCACCAAGGTACAAAAACCACCAGGCCTCGGTCGACACCATAACAGGCTTCTCCAAATCGGACCGGAACGTTTTTCTGGTCTCCATTTTCCTGAGAATCCGCAAAATCCGCTCCCACTGAGACCAACTTCCTGGTCTGAATGCCAGAGACCAGAAATTTTTCTTTGGCCCCGGAGTCGGCCTGTAATAGAGATGAGTATCTGGGAAATGTCAATCTGGTCGGATTATCCATCCCATATGGTTAGACGTTGCCGTCGGCTTATTAGAGGATTCCTACTGCAGAAAAATCGCCAAAAAAATGGGCAAAAGTTTGGGGTTTCCGCAACTAGGCGATCAGAGCAACTTGTAAAGTTTGTTCCGGGAATGATAGGTACAAATGCGGGAGAGAGAGGGAGAAAGAGAGAGAGTGCGGGGGAGAGTGAGAGAGAAAGAGAGAGAGAGAGAGAGAGAGAGAGAGTGAGAGAGAGAGAGAGAGAGAGAGAGAGCGAGATCAGGATTCATATTAATAGGCAATCAAAGAACGTGTAAAGTTTGTTCCGGGAATGATAGGTACAAAAGCGCAATAGAGAGAGAGCGAGAGAGAGAGAGAGAGAGTGGGAGAGAGCGAATAAATTATAACATTTTCAGGCTGAAATGTGGGCCGTCGTCCGTGAATTTGCATCTAGACTTCCGACACCAATGTCGCTTGCTTCACCAACTCACGGATTACATATGCGGTAGTTACTACAACTTAATACGCAGTTAAAAATCGGATTTAATGGATTAGAATTTAAGCTCCTCTAGTATAACAGATACCCATAAACTTGCCCAGCGTTTCGATTTCTAATTTCTTTTCTTCCCTGAAAAACACATCCAGCTCTAGTCTAGCCGCGCCGGTTCAAGCCGCACTCATTTCGGGAAAAACAGGAGCCGTAAATTTTTCGCTCGCGCACCCAAAAATAGAAAACAGAAAATACGTTCCGAAGTGCATCGTGTCTAACTGGCGCCGGAAAGAGCCGTTCAGAAAATAGTTATCCACAAAATGGTATGGGAGGCGGATAATGGCCGGTCGGGACAAAAATAATTTGGAGATTGGTTGTCGCTAGCCTGAGCGGAGGAGGTGACGGATATTTTTGGGAATTGCGTTGCAAATTTGAAAATGCTGTAGCTGTAAATATGGTGCTTGCACTGGGCAGTGATCACTTTTTGAACGGAAAATAAAAAGTAAAATGATGGAAAATGATTGGGTGCATTCGAAAAAAACAATAAAAGGCTAGAGAGAGGGCGAGACAGAGGGAGAGAGAGGCGGAAAGAGAGAAAGGGAGAGAAAGAGAGAGAGAGAGAGAGAGAGAGAGAGAGAGAGAGAGAGAGAAAGAGAGAGGGAGAGAGCGAGGGAGAGAGAGAGAGCGAGAGAGAGATAGAGATCAAACCCAGCCTTTTACGCTGGATTTTTCAGATCAAATCACTGGCTTTCTGGTGCCGATAACTACAAGACGATGGTCGGCTCCTCATGCTATTTAAAGGTATAAAGCTTCAAGAAATTCTAATAATTATTTTAGCTCTCGACAATCCAAAAGGACAACCAGATCCGCTCGATTTGCATGCACAATGGGACGCTGTTTGAAATGGTGCGTTCGTTTATATGGTTTTTTTTGTTTTTCATTGTCACTGGACGCTTCGAATTGCGTTTCTAGCTAATTGGAGCGACCCGATTGTTTAGGTCGACGGCCGAAACCCAGTCCTTTCCGTCGAAGTCGATCGTCCACTCCATAACTCGTTCACAAAAATCCAATTCGGCTTGAGACCTTTGATGCAGAACTCGAGCGACAATTACACCTGTGTGATGTGGGACCAGCATGGTAAGTATATTCAGAATTTTTGCGCCTGCCTTTCTAAAAAACGATAACGTGATCAGATGCTTCATAGTCCCTCGGTAAGATTTTTGAAAATTATTACATTAAGGATTAATTAGGTTGATCGATCTAGGATCTTCAATGTAATAATTTTTAAAGAAGCATCAGAAATCGAAGCGGTGGCTAGCCTTTCAGACCCAATAACAAGGACACGCGCCCGGGATTACCGTATTTTCTGGCATACGGTACCCCCGTTCAGGAAACAAGCACTAATAAAGCAGCAGCCACGCTCGAGAATTTGTCATTACCAGCCGAAAGGGTAGATCATCTAAAGTCCAAACATCTGGGTTGGTGGTTGCTATTACTGGGACATTACTAAAACAAGCGTAAAAAGTCTGGCTTCAGCGAGCAGAATAATGAGGCTTAAAATGAGAAACTTGTACTTTGTAACAGTACGAAATTTTCAGCTTACACCTGGTCAACCCGAGGAGTACGTCGTCTTTCTTCTGACGACCACGGCTATGTGACGTGTGAATCGTCGCATCTCGGTATTTTTGGGCTACTTCCGGTCAGTTTTTCTACCTTCTTCGGTACCAAAATCTGAATAGCAATTGAGACTTACTTTCTCAAATGTCTTATGCAAATAAATTTCGCTAAAAGCCCTGAATACTTTAGATTTTTCTCAACTTCCCGCCTCCTTTCATATTCTTGGCTTTAGGAATCGATGTTCATCATCCGATCGCCGCTTCTCACCCAGTTGAGCACTACGATGCCTACCGTCACTTCAGGAATTTCGCTGCTGATTGCAGCCATCTTTCTGTTTGTTGCTGCTTGCCAGAGGTACTGTAGAAAAGAGTTTTATACTTAAAATTATCAACAATTAGAAAATCACAGGCAACAATCAATCTCAAGCCAGATTTTTCAGCGATGTCATAATATTTGATTTTTTTAGGGCGCCTAAAGTGTATCTAATTGGTTTCTTAACGCAAATTGAAACGACGCTATATAGCAGAATTTATAAGAATTACAGTTCTTACGGTATCGTTTTCAGAACCCCATCCTCCGACCTGCACCTCTTGCTTCTGCTCTTCGATCTCTTTCTCATCCACTTCGCCCACCTTGGCCAGCTCGTCGGTCCCCAGGTGGGAATTTTTTCATAGACAATTCAAAATGTACTTCACGCAATTCCAATTCCCTTGCGCAATGCAAATTTCAAGCGCGCTCGTCTCGTCTGGGTCTAGACATGACAAACACTACCCAACACAGCAATATACGGCCTAGAAAGTGCTCGTTTACGTGCCGATACCACTCAGGGATTTAAGGGCAGTCATATTTGTTCAAATTGGCGTTAAAAATTGCCAGTCGGACCCACTGGCGCTGAAAAACACTAAGTGCTGCCGCCGGGTCGTCAATATGCCGCTAAGCTTTACCTCTAAAGTGATCTGATGGGTGCTGTCTAGACGTTTCTATTGCACAATCAAATCGCAATCGTATCAGGGAGAAAAACAAAAATAGCATTCAGCGGCTGGCGAATTAGGATGGGGTGTACGGTACTTTACGTCATGACAAATAGCGAGGTGAAATTCTCGGAGTATGGAGATTGGTAGGACGATCTTAGCGTCCTGACACGCAAGGGCACACAAAACTGCGGAAACCTGGCACAAAATGCATAGACCATTACGTTAATTTCAAATCCGAGACGCTGACTGCCTCGGAAGGACTTTGGATGTGCTGAAAGTACTGAATGTGACCTCTTGAGCCAGAAAATTCGAATCAAGGTTTTTCTCAAAATTGCGTTTTTAAAATTAAATTCTTCAGAAAGGAATTATTTAGTTAAATTTGTTCTAATGACGTTTCCTATATGTAAAGGCTTGTTGGTAATTTTAGCGATCAGTTCTGAGAGAAACGAAAGGAAAGTTTGGTGTATCGTTATTTTATGCATTTTGGTATTAGGGTCGCAACAAAAATATACACCATTTTCGTGGGTGTTTACGCCCAATTTACCCTTTAAAATAAATATTCAAAACGTAGTTATTTGCCTTTATGCTTACTTTTATGCTTATCGACACCGAAAACTGTATGAAAATAACTTAGAAATTTTGAGCACTAAAGTCGCACACCGCGAAAAATATCGGTTGTGAGCTACGTTTTTTATTTGTATTCGATGACGTACTTATGGCTGCATCCAAGGAAGCGCCCTCAAAAAAGTCGAGATTTGATGTTTTGGACCTTCTCACTGTAAAGTGTTTTTACTCAAGTTGGAGTTTCGATTCGGGACCAAGTGCATCTTGTGCAGAATTTTTCGCTGATTCCGAATCCGCTTTCCAAATTTGCTGCGGACTTTTATTTTGAAAGTTATACGGCAATTATGGTATTGTTTTTCACCAAAATCAAGGAACCGTTATCGCTTCGAATGTCTTGGTCAATTTTAACTTCAAAATTGGCTAGAGATTGGCTAGACAAGCATCTTTAAAGGCAAAACAAGCTTTTTTATAAAAAATTAAATTTTTTTATGCAAAAAGCAAAAGAAACGTGCAGGGCGGGGGATCCGAACCGCCCCCCTGCGCTTGGCAAGCGAGTACTTTGCCAATGCACCATGGTGCCAACCGTGAGGGGGAGCTGTGACAGAGTACTTCAGGGCCCCTGGGACCGGCAGAACCATGGAGGGAATAGTGGACCAGGATCCGAATTTTTGGCTTTCTCAAGTTTAATTTGCACCAAAAATGACTTTTTAAATAAAAGTCCGCAGCAAATTTGGAAAGCGGATTCGGTATCAGCAAAAGATTCTGCATAAGATGCACTTGGTCCCGAGTCAAAACTCCAACTTGAGTAAAAACACTTTACAGTCAGTGCCTTTAAAATGCTTTCCTAGTTTTTCTTCGAAAAGAATCTTGTGCACTTGAAGATAGTTATTAGCCTTTGGAGCCGCTTTAAAAATCCGTCCATTCCTTTCTGCAAAAAGTAACGCTGTTCCATTCTTACCAATCCCTCCGAAAAAACACCTCTAAACCTGTTTTTCCCGTACTTTCAATCCCCGCAGATTTTTTTGAGTTTCGCGTCGAAAGTGCATCGGCTCTCAAAAAAAATATTTGCCCTCGGGCTATTTGCCCGAGCTTTTGCGTGATTTCGACGGTCATCAGGGTCAACGGGGATTACGGTAGTTTTGTCGGGGGGTTTCCGGTGTTTTTGACGAGGATCCAGACCACCCGGCTACACGAGCTTCCCTAAAAACGTAGCGATTCGGCTCAAAGGAGAAATCTACATGTAGATAGACATAAATATAATACCGGGGTGGAAACCATAACTTTTCGCCATTCGGGTTTTGGGTGCGCTTCCGGTAGAAATAGCTAAAGCACTGGAAATGGCTTCCTAGCGGGAACAACATGTATATTTTTGACGAATTCGGGGAGGTTTTTGAACGGAGCATGTCGTGAAGTGCTCCGAGCAGATACCGTAATCGAGAAAACTTACCTAAAGAGATTACTGAACTGGGGTCAAAAGAAAGGAACAAAATTAGAAATGCCTATCTCTTTATTGACTCCTGAAAGCCAGAGAAATCCTCCTTATGCAAAAAGCAAAAGAAACGTGCAGGGCGGGGGATCCGAACCGCCCCCCTGCGCTTGGCAAGCGAGTACTTTGCCAATGCACCATGGTGCCAACCGTGAGGGGAGCTGTGACAGAGTACTTCAGGGCCCCTGGGACCGGCAGAACCATGGAGGGAATGGTGGACCAGGATCCGAATTTTTGGCTTTCTCAAGTTTAATTTGCACCAAAAATGACTTTTTAAATAAAAGTCCGCAGCAAATTTGGAAAGCGGATTCGGTATCAGCAAAAGATTCTGCATAAGATGCACTTGGTCCCGAGTCAAAACTCCAACTTGAGTAAAAACACTTTACAGTCAGTGCCTTTAAAATGCTTTCCTAGTTTTTCTTCGAAAAGAATCTTGTGCACTTGAAGATAGTTATTAGCCTTTGGAGCCGCTTTAAGAATCCGTCCATTTCTTTCTGCAAAAAGTAACGCTGTTCCATTCTTACCAATCCCTCCGAAAAAACACCTCTAAACCTGTTTTTCCCGTACTTTCAATCCCCGCAGATTTTTTTGAGTTTCGCGTCGAAAGTGCATCGGCTCTCAAAAAAAATATTTGCCCTCGGGCTATTTGCCCGAGCTTTTGCGTGATTTCGACGGTCATCAGGGTCAACGGGGATTACGGTAGTTTTGTCGGGGGGTTTCCGGTGTTTTTGACGAGGATCCAGACCACCCGGCTACACGAGCTTCCCTAAAAACGTAGCGATTCGGCTCAAAGGAGAAATCTACATGTAGATAGACATAAATATAATACCGGGGTGGAAACCATAACTTTTCGCCATTCGGGTTTTGGGTGCGCGTCCGGTAGAAATAGCTAAAGCACTGGAAATGGCTTCCTAGCGGGAACAACATGTATATTTTTGACGAATTCGGGGAGGTTTTTGAACGGAGCATGTCGTGAAGTGCTCCGAGCAGATACCGTAATCGAGAAAACTTACCTAAAGAGATTACTGAACTGGGGTCAAAAGAAAGGCACAAAATTAGAAATGCCTATCTCTTTATTGACTCCTGAAAGCCTGTTAGACTAGAGTAATTCGAACTATGTTCAACCCAAAAAGTTACTTGATATGTAAGAACTCCCTCAGTATTCATTAGCGCGCTGATATTGAAACCAGTTAGCTTTTTTATAGCAAGCTAACATGATTCCTCTCAAAGTGATTAAGCGCGATGAAAGCTTCGTGAAACGTCTCCATAACATATGGCGAAAGACCAATTTGGCCGTAAATAAAATGCCGATGCGAAAATAGATCGTACACAAAAATAGGGAATCGAGAAACAAAGACATAACAAAACTAGGAAGAAAGCAGTCCAATCACTTATTTCCAGATTGGCGACTCCTACTTCCTGACGCCGTCCATCCATCTATGCCTACAGTTCAGCGTACTGTCGGCTGTCTCGACACTTTGCCTAATCTTGGCTTCACTTCACAGCTTCATGACTGGGTTACGGGATCATCCGGTAGGTCTATGCAAGTTAGCTAGCAATCGTTTGTCAGCTGGAGCTTATGCTACTGTATATAAAAAAATAGTGTTTGTGTGTGTGTCTGTGCCACTTTGCATACAATTTCCGTCACCGTGTTCCAATAGTATCTCAAGAAGGGAAGTACTTAGGGGTATGTTCGATACGTCATTAGGTCAGGAGATGACTGCACGCATCTGATATTTAACAAAATCACCTATTTTCGCCATTAAATTTCAGTTTTTGTTGCAAAATTGGAGGCTCTCTTTGTTAGGAATCAATTAGCATGCACCGGAAGTGGCGATCGCCTATTTAACGGGAAAGAGGAAGCTCTTTTCATTTTTGGCTTATCGGAATCCAGGAAAATCATGCAAAGTGGAGAATATTCTAGGGTCCCACGGGGTCAGGGTTGAAAAGACGCGAAGCGGCTTTTCAACCCTGGTAATTCCTAAAGTTATACTGGAGCTAGTTTTAAGCTTCTCAAAACTTCTGTAATTTGGTATGTCCTAACATGAATGCCCGTGAAACAGATCCAGTTTTACTACCAAAATTATAGCAAAACAAACCAAAAATTAGCATATGCAAAAAACCTACGAATTACGGTGGAACGGCGTACGTAGCGTAGCATTACGTAACGCTCCGATGAACAACTTTTGCCTTGTCTCTTTTGTGCATTCAAATTTTTTGACGCGTCGCTGTCCTGGTTAAACAACGCAATTTGAATTCCCAACTTCTTCACTTTTCGATTCTTAAATTTTTCCTTGGCATTGCATCTGTTATTTCTTATTCGACAGATGATATAATTATTGAATCCACATAATTAGCCAAAACTTTTAGTCAATCTTTTAATTCTGATTATCGCAATTTTCTACCTATCCCCACCGACCGCAACTTCCTATAATCATACCTTCCAAATCCCCCTAGCAGACCTATCATTTGTAACCTAACCATACGCCCGGGGATTAACCCGTAATCTTCACCTCGTTGTCGTGGCCATTTTTGGCCTCCCTAATCCCTCATTATCAGGCCCAACCAGCCGGTTGCGACCACAAAATGAACGCGCGAAGCCTTTAGACCTGGTGCGGCCCAAAAAATGTGTCGCGGTCTCTTGTTTTTGCGCCGAAATTGGCCCTCGCCGCATTGTGGGGCCACGCCGAAAAATGGCCAAATTCGCCCGGCCAGACATGTTGGGGATTACACGCGGATACCCGTGAACGCACCGGATTATTAGGGGTGTTGTATGTGGGAATATATGGGCATCGTGAAACGGCTAGGAGTTAAGCTTGGATTATGGGGGTATAGGTGGAGGTGTTCTTAGGATGTCTGATACTTTCTCGCTTGAGATCAGCGGTTGAGGTTTCCGGGGTAGTTTGGTGGGTAAATGACCTCCGGGCGCGAAGGTGCAGATATAAAGACGGTAGAGCTAATTTTAACGCTTGAAAGGGCTTAGGAAGTCCCAGAATCGACCCATTCCGTCGACAAGGCCTGGACAGCCCTAAGCCCAATGAAAAAGCGCCATGAGAACCGTTTTTAAAGAAACGAAGAAGCGCGTGGATCAACCCCGTACTCACTAGGTCTAGACAGCAAATGCCCAGGGACAACGGCGGGACATAGAGTGAACCCGAGTGCTTTGCAGGAACACGAAACCGTCAGAATTGACCCCGGTATCGATTAGCGTAAAAGGTACAGACCCGGCTCCCAGATAGGGACTTTCATAAAAAATATCGAGAGCCAGCAAAATCTGTGCGTCCTTTCATGCCTAACGTCGCTTTGGGTACCTTGGGCGGTCGATATCAGCCGGCGTCTGATTGAGCTTGCTTAGGTTCTCTAGAAATCAACGATGCGGCTCAACTTTGAAAAAAATTTTCTGCTCTGAAAGGCTTTGAGTTGAATTTTTTCGTGATGCCATTGGCTTTGTTATTGATAGCTCGTGCAGAGCCTCCACACCTATGCCGAAGCAGGTTGTATTCGCGTTTTAGTCTCCTGTGTAGCTATGGATATCCAAGTGGACAAGCGATCAACTTTCCTGCGTTAACTTTCTATTCCAAATCAAAATCTGCGTCTGCAGGTCTTGTACTATCCACAGACCATTTTACCCAGGTTCTCATTCACCCCCACAATCTAATCCGCGACCAATCGCTCCGAACAACTTGTTGACTTCTCCTGCTCAAAAATGGAGCACCTCAGCCAGGTCAATAGGATTTGCAGTCCAGACCCGTTTACTTCCACGACCGCGAACCCGCGAGACACGGCTGAGCCGGTATTAGGTGTAAATCAACGGTCAGCCGACTTCTCGCACAACTTACTCAAGGTATCAGACAGCGAATTAGGTGTTTTGGTGTTGGTGATGATTTGGTGGTAGGGTAGGTTGCGCATTTTAAAGGGATCAGGAAGCGTAAGGATCGTCACTGGTCTCGACAAATTTTCTAAACAATAAACAATTTTTAGTTGCTTAGGACCAGGTAAAGTTTGCTAATTTGCATACCACATGCAAATTAGCAAACCTTACCTGGCCTTACGCAACTAAAAATCAGCTTTCACCCGTTTCTGGCTCGATTTCAGGGGGCAGACCTTGTCGTCGAAAAGGACCGAACTTTCCTTTCCTAGGGCCTTTAAAGAAACGTCGAAAGCAAAAACATGAAAAAAACGGTGCACGGATTAATTGTAATGAAGTTGAAGTTGAAAACATATATTCGGGCCCCTCGTCCCCAAAAACAATTTCCAAAAATTTTCGACCCCGGTCCGAAAGTCGCGAAAACAGGAAATCGCGACGCCAAGTTATTTGCATATTCCGGCTAATGTGTTTCCGGCTCCAATGCCCGATTTTTGACACTTTTAAACGGCGGTAACCGGAAATGGTCCGTTGTTTCCGGCTTTAAGAAAAAGGGGGCTAACCGTTGACCGGCCGGCGGTGTGAAAACGAATTTCCGGTTGCTCCCTCCATCCCAATGATCTGCTTCCGAGGCGCTGCTCAAAAATTATATGTTGTCTAGCCGGACCCCGGCCAGGCTTTTTGAGATCACTGAAGAGAGAGAGAGAGAGAAAGAGAGAGAGAGAGAGAGAGAGAGAGAGACAGGGAGAAAGAGCCAGAGAGAGAAAGAGAGAGAGAGCGAGAGAGAAAGAGAGAGAAAGAGAGAGAAAGCGAAAGAGAGCGGATGCTAGAAAAGAGAGAGAGAGAGAGAGAGAGAGAGAGAGAGAGAGAGAGAGAGTGAGAGAGCGATAGTAAAAAGTTACGCACCCGAAGCCCGTCAAGTTCGTGAGTTGTGGTGCATAATAAGTGGTTTATCTGTAGTAGTCAGAATTATACCGTAATCGAATTAGCGGCAAGAGAAGCCATATGCCCTGACATTTTGCAAGATCCTCTCCACATGGCACCGAAAATCTAAGGAAAGGGCAAATTAACTTTTAAAGGGGAACTCGGTGAATTTTGATACCGTAATCCCGAAGAGGAATTTTTTAAAAAGAACTGTCCGAACCCCCCGAGTGACAAAGTCGTACTTTTCACATAGCAGTGCATACCACAGAAAAACCTATTCTACAGTAATATGAAGCTCTAAGGGCGGAGAAATACCGGAAAGAATTCGCATAGCAAATTGAACACCGTATACGTATACCGGATATCTTCGCGCAACATTACCGTAATCGCGACCCAAAAACGCGCTTTTAGTACAGTTAGGGGCTGCTAGCGTAACCCCCATAAATCGAAAAACCGATACTTTCATTTTATACCGTACCCGCAAGGTCAATATGAAGTCGACCAAACCAATAAAAAAAATGGATGGTCCCACCGTGATTGGCTTTCAATGTATGCAATTTTTTAAATTAATCTCCTACTCTTCAGTAACCCATTACGTAAACTTTTCGGCACTACCGTAACACCGAATGCTTACAGTGCGCCTAAAACGCTTCTAAAATCCGTATCTTAGTTGTTGCCGTCGAATCTGATATGTTACTGATTCTGCAAAATCTGCAGCCGCCTTCCTGACGTCGTGCATCACACTGAACTCCTAGAAGCATTTTGCTCTCCCTGAATTTTTGGCCATCCCAATATTCGGCATCAACGCTTGGCCCCAAACAAAGGGATTAGCCCCAGTAACGTACTCGTCGCGTTTTGGGGGAAGCGTGGACTCAAAGAGAAGACCACGACTTGTTGACCTCACCGAAACCAAAACCAAAATTCGTATTTTCAGACGAAGGAAGACCTCGAGGAAGCCTGCTGCTCCCGTTCAGCGCGTCTCGTGCTTTTTGGCCTCGGTGAGACGAGTTTTTCGTATTTTTTTCGGATTCGGAAACATATTCGGGCTTCATGGGAAGCTGGATAAGCAGTGAAGTCATTGGTAAAACAAGGAAAACATACGGATTGCCTGAATCTTGCAAATTTAAACTTATGGAGCTAAAAATTCCAGATTTTGAAAATTTTGAGAATTTTGAGAATTTTCATTAGGAGATAGAAGAGAATAAAAAATGAGTAAAGCCAAACTGTCCATTTTTTAGTCGCACCCGGAGCTCTGACCTACGCAACGTACCATTACGCTCCTGATGGGAACCACGATTTTTCGAGGTAAGTTCTTGTTAGTTGTCTCCGTAGCTCTCTCTCCCTCTCTCTCTCTCTCTCTCTCTCTCTCTCTCTCTCGCTCTCTCTCTCACGCTCTCTCTCTTACTATCTCCCTATCTCCTACCCCTCTTTTCTCCCTTTTTCTCTGGCTATCGTCTAACTTACTTTCTAACACGCTACTCGCGTCTTCAAATTCTAATTTTACAGGGTCGTCGAATCCGTAGAATGGTTGTTCGTGTTCACCTACTTGGCGCCGGCCGTCTTCTTCCTGTCGTTTGCGTTGGCGTTTGCGCTGTGGAACATCGTACTAGGTAAGGAAAAGTTAAAAACTGTCCGGATGGGCTACACTAATTTCGTATCTAAAAAACTATTCATAAACCTGTCCGAGTCCAAAAACATATAGCATAAAAAGCTTAAAAAGCTACAATCTTATGCGCTACTGGCACGACTGCTCGCCGAAGTCAAATTACTTTTTCGGTCCGCAAAGCCCCATTTTTCGCATCTTCTGATTTTCTAGAGCGTACTGCAAGGTCATTTAGGCCATATTGCTCAGCTACAGTATACCTTTCCCGGATAAATCTTGCTGCTATCGGTGATTAACTAAATGCTTTGGTTTTGACCTGAACTTTGGGCAGTCCTAAAGATAATTTGCCGATCCCTGCCTCATTTTTCAAATATTAAAATCCGGTGTCTACACCTACCCGGACCAGCCGGAAGCCCTCTGTAAAACCCTCTATGGAAATTTCATAAACACCTCCTCTCTCTAGGTAAGCCGCTCAAAATAGCGCGAAAACAAGCTAGACTGACCGGGATCACGGCCCCATTTCGCTGCCCTTTTTCCCGTCCCCGGATACGGTAGCATCAAAATAGCTCTAAAAAGACACTTGTCGGGGCACGTGTTTTGTTCCAGGCTTTCCTCGAAAATACGGTAATCATGGATCGAGTTAGATCGGCTTAATGGAGGGGAATCCCTCCATCTATTCGGGTAAACAGCTTCGTCTAGCCGGGCTAAAAATGATCCCCTCAATGTCAGCAGGAAAGTAAACCCTGAATGCAATAACAAGTGCGTTAGCCGAGAGGGGGCGACCAATTTCAACCTGACTGGATTTGAGTGAGAGAGAGCGAGAGAGAGAGAGAGAGAGAGAGTGAGAGATTTTTAGGATTTAGAGGATTGTCGAAGCTGCCGAAACAGCTTTGCGGGTACCGGGAAGGCCTAAAGGTTCTCGAGGAATTCTTTAGAGGTTGACCATAGCAAGAAAAGTTGGATTAAAGGAGCATTGAAGGCAGAAACTGGGGTTGCGCTGGCCCTTTGCACGCGGAATACGATATGGGTATTCTAGTAAAGGTATCAAAAATACCGGAAGCTACCCTTTTTCTGAATTTTGGAAGCATAAGATGTGCATAAACTCTCCCATTGAAATCCCAACTCAACAACGCAATATCGTTGTTCTGAAAATACAGAGGCGAGCTAACAGAGGTCGTTTACTTCGTCATTTTAAGGTATTGGGGACGTTTAGGCAAAGAGCAACGTCGGAAAAAGCTCAATTGCTGATGTCTAATTGTAAGGAGGGTTTTTTTTTCAGGCAAGCAACTCAACAACGGAGGGACGCCGAGCTCAAGATGTCTTGCGATAGCTCCAGCAACCTCGGTCTCGATTGCATCGCTCCTGTTGATAGCTTCATTAACAGCTGATGTCGTGCTCTTCGCGTTAAGGTATCGATTTTTAAATTTTTTAAAGGTATCGTTAGTTTACCAGCTTTGTTTTAAGCTGTATTCAACGTTCACTTCACTGTAGCCAGTCCGATCTATGGAGTTCTGGAATCAGCAAAATCTATCCGCTTTCAACAAGATCCTTTGTTTTCAGGGAGTACAGCTTCTACGCGATACTCGGCTTCTCCATCTCGCAGCTCCTGCTCTGTTTTGCCCTATTCAAATTTTGCGGTTTCCTATTCAGGTAAATAACCAAAATCCTTCGTCTGCAAGTCATTTGCAAGTTTTCGCCTTTATGCAAATTATTATGAGTCACGAATTTCAGAGTCACTTCGGGGTACTGTATCTTCGATATGCAAATTTTTTTTGCATTACGCAAAGCTTTATAGCATTAAAAATAGCGGCAGTTTTCTTATTTTCCTTACATAAATCTAGCCAATGAAATTCATACCAGTACCAATTCCATGCAGATTTATGCAAATTATCCGAATTAACGCATTTATGAATACTTTTGTTCCGTCCTATGACCGTAGTTGCACTGTAATCTTACGGAACTACTGCATTTTATTCAAATTTAATTTTCGCTAGTCCCTGAAAATCGTGCCGTCCTCCCGCGATTAATCCCCCGATACCTATGCCTGTTTTCTGGTTCAAATCCCAGACTCTCGCCGAGGAGCGGTGCGCAAAGTGCGTCCGGATTTAGTCAGGAAAAGGGGAAGCCGGGAAAGGACAAGTACATCTTCAGCGGTGTGTGTTTCATGTTTTGAGTGCCAGTGATGGGGGAGGTGTACATCCATTCCGAACTAAATCTGTTTACGCCGTCTCAAATTTCAGGCTGCGAATGATGACGGACGCCGATCAGGACGCCGGATCCACGAGGTCTCTAGAGCGGAAACGAGATATCAGCCGAGCGCTGCTCGACCATGTTGACACGAAACAGCATTATGTGAGTTTAGAGGAGACCGTCTTAAAAATCGTGGGCAGAAACCTAAAGGATAGGAAAGTACAAAAATAGCTTGAGAGTCAGCCTAAAGATCTTAAGGAGACGGAGCAGTGTCGGACGTTTTTAAAAAGATTGAGAAGTCAAAATCTTAGTCTTAAAGGAACCGAGAGGTTATCAAATTTTGAAACGCGACAGGGAAGTACAGAATGCACCTAAAACAACCGCAGGTACTAAAAAGCCCGAGGAATCCCAAGAAATCTTTTTGAAGGGATCGGCAAGTCAGCCCATCCTTCAGAAACGGTAGAATATTTTTAACGGTACGTCAAAATATTTACCCTAAAAAAGGCGAAAATTCTGGTTAAAATTTCTACAGGGTCAAGGACACGAAACACAGGTAGCCCTGAAAAAGCTAACAAACTGACTAAGGTTTTTCAGGCGACTTGGACCATAAACATTATTTTTGGATTTTTATCATTGTACGTATGCTAATATTTTCCATGAGAACGCTTTTCCTCGTTTTAAAGAGGCTCGGACAGCACAAGGCTGCGCGGTTTCTTCATGATTTTTTCGAATTTGTCACACCGGTCAAGCTAGGGTTGAGCTATGAATGAAACTTCAAATCCAATCTTCGAATTTCGAGCACCAATTATTCGTTCGCTGGTCCCCTAATCCGATCACGAACTTTTTGCTCTCCAAATTCCGGAATTCCAGAATCTTATAAGGTTTCCCATTGGCAATTTCCTCTAGATTACGATTCCAGAATCTGTGACGTTTCAGAAAAAAAAATTGCAGCCCTATTTTTCATCACGAGAACGGAAACGCTTCGCAACTCCACCAGAATCCAAATCCGCTTACTTTTTATGAAAAACTTACCATTTTTCGGCCGGGATTTGGGGGAGTCCTCACCATGCCGTTGACCCAGACATTTTTTGCGTAGCTTGGCGTAATAAGCGGATTACAAATAAGCGGATTTTGGGATTGAAGAAAATTGGAAACTCTCAAAATAAAGTCGCTTTTCTTTCAATTTTAATTAAATAAAGTTTTTATGGCTAAAAATTAGATAAAATGAAATAATATTATTTAGGCCCCTAAGATCCTTTCGCTACTGAATTGACTTGATTTTTTGAGTTTTGGATTTTTGGGAATTTTTAGATTAAAAATTGGCCCAAAATTTGAGACCAAATTTACTAGAGGAAATTAGGGGCCTCTTGGGAAATTACTGAAGCTAGACAGAAACCCAAAATTATCTTTGGTAAACGGCGAGTGAAAAACAACAGAAACAGAAAACAGAAAGTTCTTAACAAAAAAGAGCGGAAAATTTGGGGTTAATTGGTCGCATTTAAGAGAAATTATTTGGTGATCAAACGTTTGGATTTGACGGAAAATTAAATAATTTAATAAGGCTACTTCGGACTTCGTGAATTCTGCTTATTTTGTTATTTGCCCGGGGTATAATGGGTATAATCGAATCAGTCGAGAATTCAGAAAACCAAACCAACTTCGATAATATTTAAATTGCGACAATTCAAACGGTTTTAATATTTCAAATCAGATTTAAATAAGTATAAAACCGGGCAAATAAATCGACGGGATAAGGAACATTAAAAATCCAACAAACAAGTAAAAAAAATCAAGCCTAAAAAGTTCTGGAAAAGTTAATTAATTGAAACCAAAAATGACTGTGAAAAAGGCAAATATCCAGGATTGATCACACAGGATCAAACAAAAATTTTAATTGTCATTTTCAGGGCTCCGACGTCGACAGCCTTCGCTCGGAATCGGCCGCCTACATGGCTCACTTGACTGCAAATCTATACGAGCGACAACCGATGGTGTCGATAGTATAGAAGCGTAAACCCCAAGGGTTTTATACACTTCTCAATTAATTCTCAGTCTTTCCATTCAGCTCCCGAATTACACGATTTTGGTAGTATTGAATGCCTCCAATTTGCATATTACAGTCCGCACTCCAAGCTCTTTCCCTCCCACTTGCCCCTCTTCCCCGTTCCATAATTTGCGACGATCATCTCGGGTATTTGCATATTCAGTATTTCTGTTTTTGTATTAACGGATTCTGCGTTTGAAGGAATTAGTAAGCGAGAGAATCGACCTCTATGGTCGACTAGGTCTAGACAACTACGATAGTTTCCAAAAAGAAGTGAAATCTATTTGGTTTCTGCCAAGCGGACAATTTTTATTTTGTTTATCGATCCTTCCGAGCCGCATTAAATAATTTTAAAGTTGTTTTGAAGCTTTTCTAGGTCGTGCAGTCCTAGTAAAATTCTGTCGTCGATTCTCTCACTTTCTAGTTCCTTTAAAAGCCATAAATTTACATCCTTATAAATAAGCCAGTCCGATCTCCACCTGTGATTTTTTTCCACTCTACCCCGCACAGCCTATTTGCCGTATTCTATATCTTTCTTTTCGCTCCGTTTCCGCGCGAAAAATCTAATTTTTGTTTCGTTTTTGCATCGCCTTTCCGGTTCGGAATAAATGGAATAGTAAATTAATCTGCTCTTAACGCACCTTTTTCCAAAATAGCAACATCGGGTTGAACGCGGGAATCCAATCCGGCCGCCAGGTGATTTTCGGTAAAAAATTGGGGACCAAATCGGAAAATTATTGGATAAAGTATTTCTGGACATTCGACCTCTCGCGTTCGCAACAACTGGTGGAAAATTCTACTTTATATTTTACGCTGGAGATCAGGCAACAAAGAACAAGACAAAATATTTCTGAAAAATCACGGTTTGTGCAGAGAAACAAAGTTGCCGCAGGGTTAGAATTTAATCCTTTTCAAAAAATAAAAAATACAAATAAAAATAAAACTGCCGATAACGTGATCTTCAAAGTCCAAAATCGCGACAGCAAAATTTCTTATGCGCTAGGGATTAGTTAAGGCTGACGACAGGCTGGGCTGGCATGTAGAGCTGCCCGGAGAGAGGCATTCCGCGTGCCCCGGTAGCTCAATAGGTAGAGCATCGGACTCGAAAGCCGTAGGATGCGGGTTCGACCCCCACGTGTTTTGCGGATTGGACCCGGAGCTATCTTTGGACCTAGGAAGCCCGTAATTCCTAACTGACATTTTGCATTTCCATACTTTGGTTGTCGCTTGATATCTGTATTTTAATTAGCCATGGTTACGCTGGCGGGATTTTGCATTGTTTTGCATTTGCATGTTTTCGCATGAGATCGATGATTTTAGCTGTCGGTTTCGGTGTTTTCGGTGCCTTCGCTGTGGGGACTGTCGGGATTTTTGCCGTCGAGACTGTGGCACTGGGCTTTTCGCTGTCGACGTTATGGTTTTTGGGGGATTGGGCTGTTGGCATTTTTTCGGGACCATCGGCAGCCGGAATTCGTTTTCATAGCTGTCGAGACTTGGTTGTCCCGATTTTAAGTGTTGGTATTTTAGTTAACGAAGCTTTGAAAAAATTTAATTGTCGTTATTTCGGCCATCGGGACTCGTTTGTAGATGCGGGGTGTCGGGCTTTTGAATGGCTCGGGCCATCTCCCATTTTCTCGTCTCTTCATTCAAGTTTCTCACTTTCAAAAAATAGGTCGTGTGCTACAATTCGTTCCGAGTTAAACCGGCCGTTCGAAAAAAACAATTTAAAAATTTTTCCATATTAATCCCCGGCTGGCGGCTCCAAGCCAGCCTAAGCCGTCACCGCATTTCGCCATTTGAATATTCAGCGGTAGTAGCGGGATAATCGCTACTTATTTCAGGGCCTGTTTTTCATCTAACCACCCATCTCCCCGGTTTTTGCAGATGTTTTTCGACAACGCGCCATTGGAAAAAAACGCTGAACGGACCGGGTCCGCATTACCGTAATCCCCGCCGCGCAAAATGGGCCAAAATATTCACGTTCGCGCCAAAAGCGTTCAGAAAGTTCGCCACATGTGGTGTCGAAAGGATTTTGTTTTTGACGGCTCAGACATGGGAATTTTTCAAAAACAGTTTTTGACATTTTAAAAAAATATGCAAAGTCCTAAAAAGGGAAAATGAAGGTTCAAATCGGCCTCATGGAAATAATAAACGCCCAGGAAAATTCAAATTAAGCCCGCAAAATTCATTAGAAAATTTCTGAAGATTTAAGGGGGTTCCAACGACCTAGCTTTTAAACATACATTTCAGACCGCTTAAAATTAAATCTTAAACTTGCGAATCGGCTAAATAAGCTTTTGCAAAAATGTATTTTGAACTAACCCCTGAAATTTCAATTTTTCGAATCAACGCAACTCCAATTCCCAACCTACACTACATTTTTTGGGCCCGGAAATTTGGCCCAATTTCCGCCGGTTAAGGTTAAAACCCCAAAATTACTTTCAATCGCGCACGCCGGCAATTATACGGAAATTGGTAGCTATTTTTCGGCTTCCGGTCCCGACCAAATTTTGGGGGACATGGAGACATTTTAGGAAATGTCCTATTAGGGATTTGGTAGACCAATTTAGGATTTATGAATGGTATTCAGAATGAGAAATTATAGGTATACTGTAGTTCGAAACATTTGGATTATGAGATGGTTGAAGCAGCGTTCAAAGTACAGTCGTGGAATAAACGTCTCGAGAAGCGGCCACTAAAACGCCGTTTAAAAGTAAATTAAGTGGAAGTTATGTTTTGTGATCAGGTGTTTATGAAAAATGACATTCTCGTGGCTTACGGTTTGCCATTACTGTGAGATTACTGTAGAAACTACATTTTAATCCAATTTTCGGAAATTCTATTGGCAGATAATGTTGTTTTTCTTGCCACCTTTCCAGCCTTAAAGGTTATTGTAAGGGGAAGGTATCATAAAAACAAGAATTTTCCGAATGCCTTGCAGGTAGTTTATGTAAATCTGGATCGATGCCAAAGGGTTGCTCTCTCGCTCTCTCTATCTGTCTGTCTGTCTCTCGCTTCAAATTGTCTGTATTTACATCTACAGAACAGATTATGTTTTCTCGTTCGAAATTTCAGCGTAGCCGGGTTACCGTAACACGGCGGATTTCTGATATGTTCATCTTCTGCCCACCTCGAAATAGCGTATTTTTTCGGGCTGTGGCAAAATTGCGAAGCCCCGTCACGACCGGCCAGCCTCGGCAATATTATGCGGTCAGCGTGGCCACATCCGATTGTGGAGGAGGGTGAAGACGTGACTTTTTGGGCCACCGGAAGCCAAGAAGCGCCTAGGCCATTTTCGTCCCAGCCAGAAGGGGGAATCCCATTTTGGGTGTGGTGAATGGCTAGGCTGGAGGCTGGCTGACGACGCTAGAAAAAGTTGAGACAGTGACGAGTTTTTGGGCGGCTTGTTGACGGCGGATTCTAGAGGCGGTTGATGAACTCTCTGCACCCACGCTGCTGGGTTCTTTGTTGTTTCGACTTCTCGGGTTTTTTGCTAGACGGGATGATGTCAAGAGGCGTAGGCGCTACTTCGCCTTTGCCACGCGACAAAAGCCGGCCGCAGCGCGGCTGACACGCGACCGTAACGCAGCTGTCACGCGACAGGAATGCAGCTGTCACGCGACAGGAACGCGACTGCAACGCGTCCGCTGAGCGCGTGAAACACTGTTGTCAACGCTTTCTAGAGCTCGCGGTACGATACCCACACGCGACTTCAGATAGCCGTGAATGACGACTTCGCGGCGTCGCGTCGGCCAGGTTCGACTCACCCAATGATGCTGCAAAAATAAAAAATAATTGCGCACCGGAAGTTAAAAGCGATCTTTGAGCTTCTGCGGACCCAACGATTTCGACCCCCGCCCACAAACGACCGCAGCACGACCGCGACGCGGCCGCACCGCACCTTTCCTGCTTCGCGGGGGATTCTACCTGGAAAATCCGTTAGAAATCGTCGGTTTTTAATGAGATCTCCGAACTTTTTCCCAGAAGCTAAAAGGTCATAGATGGTAGAATTTTACGTATCGCCATTTTATGCCATTTTGCCATGCCATTTTAGTATCATTAAAAAAAATTTAAATTTCTAACAAGTCCCGCTTTTGGCCAAATTTTATTTTTACATTTACCCCCGTATTTGCCTTGCCACCGAGTGAACATGTTATTTACCCCCAACAGTGAATGGTGTCAATTTTGATACGACTGACTTCCGGATTTGAGAAAATTATTACGTCTAGCCGGGTGGTGGCGTCGTAGCATAATATAGGCAGAACGTGTGGTGTCCAGACGGAACGTTACGTACGCTGATATCCGGATTCACTACGGTAACGGGATTCCGGTTCAGAAAGTGTGGCTATTGTAGGGTTAACGAAGCATTGCTGGTTCAAATGTTATAGCTACGGTCTCGCAAAATGTTAAAATACATCAAAACCGGAGAAAGATTAACATAGCCACCTAACCGCTCAGGTAGTTTTTTGTAAGATTAACTCGAAGCCGCGACGCGGCTTTCCATCCTGCTAGCCTTAAGAAAAGCAAGAATCTACTTAAATTCGGCGAAGATATACCACTTAATGAATTTAACGTACGGCTACTTAATTTAACGTTTAGGATCAAAACTTAAAATTATTAATTAAGTCAATTTGGTTCTTTTTGCGTTATTTCAACACGTCTATTTGCTTTTACTTAGCTAAAGGCATTTCATGCATATTTTTTTGATTCAAAAGCTAAATTAAAAAATATCTGGTTTAGGCCTAAATTCGGTGGATACGGTACACTGTTTTTCGCCTATTCACAGCATAAAATTTTACATTTTCATGGATAAAATTCAAATAATGCGGTTGTATCAAATGGCGTTCCGCCAAAAAACAAGTGCTCAGACAGGCTATTCATAATCTAACAAAATGCCAGGTTCCGGGAGAAAATAGGTACGGACCAGTCTGGCCCAATCGACGGCCAGACCACCCAAAC